GGTTGTAGCAATTTTGTGGCGGAAGACTTCGAGTTTGCCCTCTAGGTACTCGAAGCAACACTTCTCCTGGTGATGTTTAGTCTCAAGTGTTGCAGGGGTTTTGCAGCAGGTGGAGCTATGGGATTCATAGGTGATGAGATGGTCCTGAAGGAGGAGAAGTGTGAGGAATATTTGTCTGGCTCGACGGGTGTTGCTGGAAATGGGTGCACTGACAAGTTTCCAGGTTGCAGACAATAAAGAAGGGGAAAAACCTGCTGGAGGAGACGAGGATGTGTCGAGATCCCGTCTGAAGCTAAATGGTGATTTTTAGCTCGCAACAGTTGCACATGCATTGGCAGTGACTGAATCGGAACAGAACCAACGAGGTTGATTCAGGGTGTATATGCTGGTACGTAAGGCCAATGGAGGCTTTGGCAATGGATGCAAGGATTTTTGCATGGTATATTCGCCAAGGTGGAGATTGTTGTGTTTGGCTCATATACTTATGAGTTGGTAACAATTTTGATAGTATAACTTTCTGAGTGCTATAGGGAAATGGCAGTAGCCACTTTGTGTTTGGCTTTCGGTTGTGGTATGGATGTCTTGTTTCAAGAGAAGACATGGTGACTACCACAAGCAAGTTGGAAGCAAGACTTGACTTTGTGGTTGCTTGCACACAATTGTGCATGTTTTATTTTATATGCATTAAATGACAAATGGAGAAAAGTTGTACTTTATAGACTAGACTTTGATGCATGCTAGGTAGGCTAGGTGATAATTATGTCATGTGAACTTAAGACTTTTTGGTATTGTTTGTTGGCATAGTTGCTAGTGTATGCCTATAACTAGATGCAATATTTGTGCATTTAGAAATGCATTGAGAGAGCATCCGAAGGAGAACACAAAGGAGAGAAAATATAGAGTGAGAGTGAGAAACTCTTGGGGAGAGTGAGGCTCTTAGTAAAATTCTGTGAGGGTACAAGGGATTGGGGTTTGGGTTATGTTGATTTAATTCAAGTATATCTTGTACTAGTTATTCTCATAGTAAAGAGCAATATCTCTTGGAGGACGTAGGCAGATTTTTGTCGAACCTCGTAAATTTCTCAGTGTATTTATTTCTTGTAAGTTAAAATGTTCAACTGTGGGTCTGCAGTTTGGTGAGACAATCTGAATCTCACTTCCGCACTGACGAACAGCCAAGGCACAACAATAGCGACCCGTGCTCACTTATCAATCACAGGCTACACGTTGCGTCGCTTCCAGGCGAAAACCAAGTTTTTGAGTAATTTCGTTTATAATTCATTATCATAGGGATTCAAAGTGAAAAGGAGTGTCGATTGTCGATTATTTGACGTCCTCTCCTCTTTTATCCGGACTTGGAACCAGTAGCGTAAGATAAACTTGCACATGCAGAGCTTAATGAGAAAGAAAAGACATCACGAAAATTGTATCTCATATCTTTCTCGATTTGTTTTTAAAGCAAAATATCCAGATTTTTGTTCTTTTTACTTTAGTAATAAGCAATCTACTCAGATATCCTTTTCTTAATATGGCTTCTGATTGAACTTGTTAAGCAAGTCATAAATTTTCGGTTATCTTTTTCATTTAACTATATATTTACCCTTAGGGCTTCTTAAGTTCGATAGGGTTTTCTTATCATATTTCATCAACCATGTCAAACACAAAGCCAACCTTTCAGATTTCAACCATGTCAAACCTGCCACCGGAGTTAATCGTTGACATCCTTTCACGGATCCCTCCCAAGGATTTGATCCGATTCATGTGTGTTCGAAAGCTTACCATGCCACCATCCATGACCGAAAGTTCATCAATGTCCATCAGCAACGTGCTATTAGAACCAATTCTTTTCGTACCCTTTTAATTGAGGGAGCCGAATTCGGTCTTCCCAACGCTGCGGAGAACGACCTGTAGGTTCATTGGCGTTCTTCGATAATGATGCGTTCGGGACCATTGAGAAACTGGAAGCGCCGCTAAAACGCCCTGGTACTTGCACTCACATATTGGGCTACTCTAACGGTCTTGTTTGCATCCGCAACACTAAACATAGGAGCGATGAAGGCGATTTTGCCATATGGAATCCATCAATTCAAAAGTTCAAGAAGATACCCTCCACATGGCTTTGAGCAGCCAACAGATTTGACATTAGGACGTCCCTGTTATGGTTTCGGGTATGATTTCGCTAACGATGATTATAAATTTGTGAAAATTGTGGAATTTCTTGATGGGGACGGGGTTATTACGGGCGCTCAGGTGAAGGTTTATAGCTTAAAATCCAACTCCTGGAAACGGATCCAAAACATGTCTACCAATGGTTTTGGATTTGATTCAAAGAATATCCTGTTTCTGAAAGGTGCTCTAAGTTGGCTAACAAGAAACGCAGGTGACAACCGTTACAAAATTCTATCTCTTGATCTTGCCACTGAGCAATGTTGTGAGTTTCCGACCCGGTTAATGGGGATAACAATTCTAGACTGTTTTTGGACGTTTTAGGAAGCTTTTTATGTATTTGTGTTGATCATTTTTATATCCGGAAGGATTTTTGGATTATGAAAAAAAATTGGAGAGGCAGAATCTTGGTCCCTAATTTATTCTGTTGATGTGGAAACTATGCGTACATCGCTTGGCTATTTCAAACCTTTGGCTTTTTCAAAGAATGGTGAAATGGTTCTTTTTACGGACAACGATGATAAGTTTTTTTGGCTTGATTTGAAGAAAAGAAGTATCAAACAAGTTGAAATTGAAGGTCGACATGAAAACACAACTATTTGTGTAGGAAGCCTTTGTCTTCTTGACGGCGATTCTGTTATACTTGCCTTGTCTCCGTAGAGAGGCATAGAAGCCTTTGTCCCTTTACCTCTATAGAAGAGGAAATTTCAGGCAGCGAAGGGTTTCTTGATCTGGCAGTCAATGGAACAGAAGATGATCAGATTGGGGAGTTGGTTTATGATCAAAGATGTCTGTGTTAGTTTCTCTGCAATTATTCCATATTTCAGTCAACAAATACGTAGTATTTGTAGCCCTCTTTTGGGTTCACGATGGAGACTATGGATTATTAGGGTTTGGGATTTTGAAAGTCATGAACTGCATAAACCTTTGGACAGATTTTGAAAGGCATTAACTGAATAAAAAATTATATAATTTAAATAATGTAGGATAATAAGGGGTCCTAAACCTTTTTAATAAAGGAAAACTAAAGGAATGTGGATTGTTCCAACTGTCCTATAAAATTATAAATCGAGGCAATATACTAACCCAATGTATAATTCATGAATCCGACCTCAGTTGCTTATTAGTTGGTATTGCAGACCAAGGGGCACCACACAGAGCTCCAAGAGTTAGTGCAAAAATGTACACCCACAGGTCCTATGCCTGTTGAAGGGTTCAGCTCTTTTATAGGTGGGAACGCCAGAAACAACAAAAATGAGGCAAATTGTCATGATGAACTCAATCACAAATGGCTGCAATGGGAATTGTTCCTGCAAAGCGGTTTTGGGTCCCATTAAAGATCAGTCTAAGACTACCAGTTGCAAGTGTTGATCCATGGATTTGAGCTCGTACACAAAAATTTATAGTGGCACTCCAAACCTTTTATATTTGTAAAGGAAGAAATAAATTTTCTATCCGTATTTTTATCCATATCTCGAATATCATCTTCTACCATATTAAATGATTTTTGTTTATGTGTGTTGTAATTATAAAAAATATCTTGGTTAGTTTTTACTTGTAATGGTGATTAATTAGGTCACCTGTTTCAATGGAAAACCTCTTGGTCACTGGAAGGCAATGGTGACCGCAGGATTGAAATGGACACCAGAGTTGTGGCCAACAGAGTAAGTCATGACCATCAGAACCATCCCCCAATGGTTTATATCCTACATTACGATGGAGACTCTGGACTTATAGCGATATGAGAGATTTTGAAAGACATCAACTGCATATAACCTTGGAAAACATAAGGAATGTGAATTGTTCCAACTTTCCTGCAACCTTTAAGACTAGGGTAGGGTTGTAATTAATAATTGTTTAGGACTACCTCGTTTAGGGGTTGCAGTTAATTTGTTAATACAACATTTAGAGTGGGACATACAAATCAATATTAAAATCCAATATGCATTTCACCATGATCAGCGATACAATAAAATTTTGGATGCTATGTACTCTTAACTCTTTAGGTTATTAATGCCGTTAAAGATACGTCGGTGACGGGAGAAATGCCACTTTGTACCATGCAGTGCATGATGACTGTGTTCTTGTGCGTTGCATTGATTTTATTTGCTGTTCAAGTTCTTTAAGTTTTGGAAGCAGGAGTTTGAGTTGTAGTTGTGCAACTGCAACCCAGGGTTCAAGAGACTTTTCGATTCATGACTCGTGATTCAGCTAGTATTTGTCAATTTTGAGTCGAGCATTCCATGAGATTTTGCATATAAAACGTGGATTATTATTCACTTTTGCACTTTTAATGTGTTGCATTGCATGCCAATACCATTTATGAACAGGATTCATGTGATAAAATGCCCAAAAACTTCAATCTTATCCTTTACAACACTAACGCCATTCCTTGAGTCTTTTCTCTTGCTCTTCCTCTTCATTCCCCCATGCCTTTTTAGTCTTTCTTTATCTGGAGATCATGCAATATGCATGTTGTAAATTGCAATCGCTCAACATTGCCAAAAACACATCACCAGTCGGTTTAGCAGCTCATAGATAGTTTCATTTAATTAGATCATGTCTCAAGTTCAACTTATACTAACGTGAGAAAAAGGTGAGATATTTGTGTAGGGTCTGCTATTAAATCGTGAGTTGTTGTGAGTTGCTTAACGGCATGTTGTATAAGTATTTTTGTATGGTCCGATACTAAAAATTGTGACTCGTTAAGAAATTTCATTGTGAGTTGCTTTGTAATGGGTCTGATACTAAATTATGACTTGTTGTGAGTTATTAAACATGTAAATTTGTCTGTGTAAATATACGCTCATTTGTTAGGAAAAAATATGACGATAACAAAAACACACTTCGATTTGATTTATCAACCTGTGCATGGATCAGAAGATAACATATGATACAGTAATATCCAAACATGGGAATTCAAATTTCCACTTTCAACTGTAGAACAATACATCTGCCACCTGACTTGCTGGAAAACAAAAAACAAAAAGTGCATAAACCATAAAAAAGGTAGGTCTGTTCCTTCTCTTTTATCTAACCACAAATCTGTTTAAATTCTGTAGAATTAACTAGTTAATAAACCCTTCCTTTCCTCTAATTTTTTCACCAATTCGAGCCGTTACTTGAGCCCCACTCCTTTTAAGAAAGAGCTACTCTTAGTGATCTCGCGCAGTGGTTTGTCTGTAAACCTGATGACATTGTAGACCAAGGCACCACTCACAGCTCCAAGAGTTGGTCCAAAAATGTATACCCACAGGTGCTTATAGTGCCATGATGCAATTGCAGGTCCTATGCTTCTTGCTGGGTTCATTGATGCTCCTGAAATCTGTCTGCAGGGTATAATGTGAACCCAAATCATTAGGACACATCTTAATTTTTAATTAAGAGATATATGTCACAGCTTAGTAAACAAATATATCTTTGAAGGATGTTTAAAATGATAGTACTAAGTTAATACCCTGTACACATCACGTTAAGAAGAACCGTAGCGCCAATCGCAAGCCCGGCAAGCTCTCCAATCTGCGTAAGCAAACAAAAGAAGAAAAATAAAATCGCCACAAGATTTCAGGAATCACTGTCGTTATGGATATGATTCAATGACCAAGTCACTGTCTCTGTAATAGTTTAACATGAAAAAATATATGATGCAGACATTTTGGAATATGTTAGTTTAATTAAGTAGTATAATATTGCCAAATCAAATTATATCAGTCTAACAAGTTAAGAAGTTTGACACCAACCCTTGTTAGCTAATCAATCATATTGGATATGGTTACTTTTAAAAATTGGGAAATTTGGACCAATTTTGACAATGTTGAGGTTAATCAATGGGAAGAACTTCATTGCATTTAGGATGCTACGGTGGCAAAATCTCAAGTCAATCACAAATTACTCCATGAGGAATCAAAACACATAGGTGTGCGTGATTGACATGAGAAACTTTCAATGTTAGGTCCCATACGAAAGTAAATTGTATAGAGGTTAAGAGGTAGAAAAAGAAGTAATTACCGCTCGGTTATCAGTAGCAACACCAGAAACAACAAACATGAGGTAAAATGTGATGATGAACTCAATCACAAATGACTGGAAGGGAGTTCCAGAAGGACTTGTTCCTGCAAAGTGGTTTTGGGGCCCATTGAAGATCAGTCGAAGAGTACCAGCTGCAAGTGTTGATCCAAGAATTTGAGCTCCTACATAAGCAGGTACCTATAAACCAAAAAATAAGAACAAATAGAGAGAACTGTAGTAACATAAAAAAGGAACTGGGCAAAAGAACATTATGGTTTCGGTCTCAAATTATGTAGCAAAGTTTGTTTTGTAAGCAACATGGTTTATGTTGCACAATTTCATCTGACGGCACTTAGTTTCTACTTACGGGGCACAGAGAGTTTCTTAGACTAACCTTATTCAACAAGAAACACATGCATTTTTATTTATTTACAAGAGGACGTTAGGAAATTTAATCTCTGCAGTTTACCAATTTCAAAGGAAGAAATAAAAATTCATGGGTTGGTTTGATTAGGTCACCTGCTTGAGTGGAAACCTCTTGGTCACTGCAAAGGCAATGGTGACAGCAGGATTGAAATGGGCACCAGAGATGTGACCAACAGAGTAAATCATGACCATCACAACAAGCCCCCAAACAATAGAAATCCCAGGAAACGACACCGTCTTGTCCGAGACCAAATTCACCACCACAGACCCACACCCTGCAAATATCACGAAGTAGGTTCCCAGCACCTCAGCAAACACCTGTCGCACATAAAGGTTTCAACTTTATCATTCACTTTAAGATCTGCTTCCCTAAAACAAAGAATTTATATTTAACAAATGATTTTACAGACTTGAATTTGGTCAGTTAGTAAGCAGTTTGTTCTCAGCCTGCCAATTTTCCGTGAATTAAAATAGTTTAGAATAACGACTTCTCATTAAAAACAAAATGGTTCTGAAACTGAAAGTTGGGCAGAAAGAAGATGATTAAGTCACACCTTTTGCATGAAAGGCACAGAGACACAAAAGCTGCCGGATTCTTGGTTGTTTTTGTGATTGGCATCACCATCTTCAACATTCAAGACATGGGTTCCATTAGTTGCTGTAGTCTCAGCCATGGCTGAAGCTAGAGAGGGAGAGACAGAGAGGGAGTGAGAGGGAGAGAGAAAGAGGAGGAAAGGTGAAGAGTGAGCGAACAACCCTGCAGGACAACCCAATTTATGGGAGAGAGATGTTGACTTAAGAAGAAAAGGATGGGGCTTTAAGTTTTGTAGGATTATTATTTATTTCATAAAAGGTATATTCAGATTGTAGTTCCATAGGGGTGCGTTTGGTACGTGGGACGGGACGGGACGGAACGGGACGAGACGTTCCGTGCCGCGTTTGGTGTGCCAAAAATGGGTGGAACGGGCTGTTCCACGAGACAGATTTTGGGTGTTTTTGCGTCCCACCTGCCCCCTGAAACGGGTTTGTTCCACGTCTGTGGAACACAATGTTTTACCATTTTAAGACAAATATATCCCATGTCTTTTTCAAAAATTACACCTTCGTTCCGTCCCGTCCCGTCTGCGTACCAAACGCACCCTAGGAGATATCGTTGAAAAATGTGGCAAGCTTGTGAAATAACAAAAGCGGCATTCAAGACTGCTTCAACCACCCACCGGAAATACAGAGTGGACAGGAATGCCTTTTTTCTACTAAGAGTAGGGTCCTCTCCCTCCAAAATTCTCTACTTCTAATCCTTTCTTTTTTGAACGATCACGATTAAGTTACATCAATTTTTTGTGTTTCTTTTTTATAGAGAGAGACATACAGGAAAATGAGAGAGAAGGAAATTTGGAGGAGAGAGAATCTACAGAGTGTTTGAACATTCAGAGCTACCCATTGTATATTTGTTTTATACATATGAATGACTAAAATACCATTAGTTTATTTGATTTTTTGTAAATCAATGATCTTAAAATAATGATTTAGCAAATGAACTGTTCTAATTATGACACGTATTAGACAAATCTGTAAAATGCAAAGGTTGGAACGAGGAAGTTCACCAGGGATGTTTTTTTTTTTTTTTTTGGTTGTTTATGTTAAGCAAGAATTGTTCATTTATAATACACATCTCCCTCACTAAGCCCTCTTTCTTTTCATTTCAACTTAAGTTCCACCACTTAGGTTTATTAGTTTGGCCACTACTTTAACAAAGTCCTCAAGTAGACTAGTGATGCAATAACTTCTCTCATTATAATCACCTTAATTAGTAACTAAATTCATGAGAAAGATTATTGTTGAAGGTTCCTAAGTTCTAGGAGACGGAGTTTTATAGTGGAAAATAATAAAATGCCTATGTAGATCCCCATTGATTTCTATATTTCCTACCATTAACAATTTAACCTACTAACAATATTCATTTATCAAAAAAAATAAAAAATAAAAAATCATGAGTCCTAAAAACAAAATGTAGGATCACGTTATGTAAGGATCCTATTGGAAATTTGAGCTTGGCCATTTCAAAGGTTTTACTCATTCTTCATGGTGCTAATGAAGTGGCTCATGATTAAGCTAAATATGTTTTGTACTTGGTTCGAGAAACCTCTTGATTTCCTTCAAGATGTCAAGAATCGTAATTTGCATTTATAAACAAAATATCACTTTCATTGCCCAAAAAACTAATAAAATTTTATCTAGCAAACCCGTAATTTAAAATTATAAATCTAAAAGTTAAAACCTCCAAAGTCGACCTTTATTCTTTTCCAAGCAAGTAGTGTAAGTAAACTAGATTGGTGATAAAGTTAGTGAACATAAAAAGATGCTAAACAGCAAAAAGACAGGTGCAATATCTAAAATGCATAGGTTAATCATAATTAAGTCGTCTTGGAACTACCATAACTCTGAATTGCTCTCCAATTATTTAAGACAGAAATAGAATGCTCCCCTATTTTTAATAAACAAACCAATTATTTTTAGACACACATCATTCATATTGAAAGTATAGATGAGTATAGGGGGGAATAAACAAGAAATAATGTTTTGGTGGAAATTGACAAGAAATACGTAATATATTTTCTGATGAACTTTTTCGTAAAGGACTATTCGAGACGGTAAGAGATCAAATTAAATTATAAAGACAGGATTTTTGTCTTCAATCGGTGAGTGATGGTCAATTGCAGTTCATCGCATAGATTTTAACACTAAACCAATCAATTAATTTTATAGAGTATAAGATGATATAGCCTAATAAGACTAAGAGCCACCACATTTCTTCTTTTAAAAAATTGAATTAATTATTTTATTCTATATTTAGTATAAGATGATATAGGCTAAGACTAAGAGCCACCTTTGACACAAAACAAACAAAAAAAAGATTAAGAGCCACCACATTTCTTCTTTAAATTGAATTATTTTATTCTAAATTTAGTATACCATTAACCCATTACTGCGTTACTTAGGTTTTGGGTAATTCGGTCAGAGAAAATTACCCAATACGTTTAGCTGGATCACTATTACTTTCTAATACTGTATAATTTATGATGAATGATGGATTGCCTGGTGAATAAGATCTTCATCTTTAACTCATGACTGTGTTCAAGATTTCAACACTCTCCTCCTCTTCTTAATTAAACGTAGACTAGGAACATCGCTTATAACAAAAGAATAATGTATATGTTTTTGTCTCTAAAAAATGCGCGCGCGCGCGCGCGCACATATATATATATATATATATATATAATTTCCATGACCTTTATCCAAAATTGTACCCACTGGTGATTCAGTACTAGTCAACGACACTACCTTGCATGAAGTGCCTTTTTATTACCCAATTATGAAGCAATTAGAAAGTTAATTGTTTTTGCATTGACCCAATTAGTTACCTGAATCTGGATGAAATCTAATTATCAATATATAATTCTTAGTGCATGCTAACATCAACTTGTCTTTAATCTTTCATTCAATTCAAAAGATCAGAACCAAATGATGAACAAGAGAAATTTGATACCAACCCTTAAGTTTGTTCAATGAGCATGCAAAATCTAACCTCCCACTATTCACCATTTCAACATCCATGTGGTTAGTTACCACCCCATTTGTCATACCAATTATTTAGGGTTTGGACTAATTAAATTCTGGTATATTTCCTCTAATCTGCTGCTTTCACACAGGATTATATTAACACTTATTGTCTTTTGGTAGATTGGTAAAAGGGTGATCGAAATCAACATGACTCCCTACTTTGCGAGGGCCGAGGGAGGTGGGCGGTGGACGTCTTTCATACGCAACCGTACTCTTGTTTCGCAAAGAGACTGTTTACACAACTCGAACCCATGACCCTCCCATCGCAAAGACGCAACCTTTTTGTAGATTGGTATGGAAATTAAATTATTTTGACCAATCCATATGGCAAATGAAAGAGAACTTTAATAGAGGTCTCCAATAAATTCGTGGAGACGTGAAGTTGCTAGAAAGCTTTATGTTGCTTTCAGTGGCAGGCAAAGACTCTAATTCCTGCATTAATTTTGTTAATTTGTTAAGAAATTTGCCATGCATTGCCCGTTCTTTTTTGTTGTTTGTTATCTCCATTTTTCAACTACAAAGATACTATACACACTCTTTTAACTGAAGCTTGGTCAAGTCCTTTTTTTCTTGTTTATAGTTGTAGGATCATGATGCTGATGTTTTGGGTAAGCAATGTACTTACAGAAAAAAATGGGAAAGTAAATTTTGCATGCTTTTTTTTTCAGTGATGTCATTCTTATGCCTTGCTTTCCTCATTTATTTATGTCTTTGTATTTTGTTGGTTTGTTGGGGTAGGGGTAGGTCTGAAGGTGATCGACAGTTAAGTACTTTGTATTTATATGTTTATTTGACAGATAATTGTATGCAGAGGTTATATTCATAAGTCTCAAGTTTTTTGTTCGCCAAAAACAAAAGTTTGAAGTTTTGAAGGAAAAGGATCCTTTTAGTGCGGTATTGACAAAGAGAAATGCCAAAGCTTAAGGGGACTCTCTCAAAAGTGAAATTATGAATTATTTGTCACCTTATATTTTGTGCACAATGTTTTATAATGTTGACGAGAGAATTGATGTTAAACCCTGAGGGCAGAGAGTTTATAAAAAGTTCCACTTTGAGAGTTACAAAGAAAAAAGTGAAGTATTACTTAATATTCTAAAAAAAGAGTTATGAAAATGAAAATAAGGAATGAAGAAGTGCAACATGACATTTTGTAGTGCTTATAATAATTTCAAAAAACGAAGTTAAATTCTTCACATATAGATCATCTTAATTTAGCAAAATCTCATTCTGGTTAGGTAAGTAAGCATCCTATAGGCTTTGTTTAGTAGGATTGTAAAGGACTCGAGGCAAAAGCAAGTCTAACTGCTCGAGTTCTTGTAACATAAACTTCCAACTTAACAACATTTTAATAATATAACGTAATACATGAACGATATTTTACGTTAAGAATTTGATGATAAGAGTCGCGGTGGGCTAAGTTGTCACGCTTGTAGTTTATTTTGAAACAAAAGAATATTGAACTAAATGTCAAATTGAAGATAGTCAATCTAAAATTAGAAGAAAAAAAAATCAGCTAATACTACGGTCTACGGTTATTTCTCATCACTTATAAGTTAGAGAGTTTCACGTTCAACTTACATAGATGACGATGACGTGTTGAGTTCCCTTCATAGTTAGGGGTTGACCCAGCATGTGGCCTATCCCAACTCCCTTCCCCTTAGACTAGAATATCGTTTATCCCAAAAAAAAAAAATGATGATTTTACTCTAAGAAAACTTCTTGAATAGAGTATAATTCGAGTTGTTCTATGAAAAAATAAAATCTACACGAGCTTTTTGAATCAAACATATCAATGCTCAAACTTGATTTGTTTCTTATTGAACCGAATATAGGTTTGACATGTTAATCTTTGACGAGCCAAACACAACCTGAACTTGGTACAAACTCGTAATGTTTCGAGCCGATTTCCAACCCTATTATATAGAATAAAATGGCTATTAATTAATATCATCCTTGTTTGGATTTGATTCACGGAAATGGAATAAAATGGCTATTAATTAATATCATCCTTGTTTGGATTTGATTCACGGAAATGGAATCTTAGTCCAAATAATGGCCTTCTTTAATTTACAAGGGCTAACATGCAAACCCAGACCACTAGTGGAAGAAGCCTAATTCTTGTTGTAGTGCAGCTGTCCACGGCTTAAAATAAAATTGAGACAGGATTATTAACTAGTGCCACGGTCTACAGACTCTACAGGTTTTAAGTTTGACTCATATATAGCAGTGGTTTCATTTATGGATTCGGGTGGCTTCAGGACCACTCAGAAGTTTGAAAAAGCGCATGTGAAGATCTTCGAGGATCATCCAATGGTCTGAACATGTGGTGGAAGAGAGAAAATCATTATGATTATGCAGATGTTATGCAACAGATGTAAAACCATTTGTGAATGACAATGACTTATACCGAGAGTCCTTGAGAGAGTAGTTGACTTGGCAATCAAGTTGATGAAATCTTCCATGATTCTTGAAACCTTAAAGAAGTAAATATATTGGAGTCCTAACATCTTGTAGTCAGTTTAGGGTCCTTTCATTAAGAGAAATAAGGTAAATGAGTCATGATAGGGCTCTGATTGATTAGAGAAGATTATGGTGAATATCCTTTCTGTTAATAGGTTGGAATTGATAGAAACCCTAAGTATATAATCAAGAAACAGTCCCTGCTTCCATACCGCCGAGTCTCAGAGCACTACAAACCTATTTCGCTAGTTGAGTTCATAAAAGAGGTATTGGAAGTAGAAGGTTGTCTTCGATCACGCACCAGAAGCGGCTATGGCATCAGGTAAGTCTCTCACATTCGTATGCATGCATGTCGATAATGCCATGCAGTGTGCGTATGCAGGATTGGCTGCATATTGTTCTTTTGAATATTGTTCCTTTTGTAATCCTAATACATGCTGTTAGGTTCTTGGGATATTCCTACATGTGGTATCAGAGCCACACAGTGTGGTTAGGGTTCAATATTAAAGTCTTGCAAATATGATCAATGGACAAAAAGGTTCTTGTTATAATAAAATTCCGCTGCATTGATGATATTTTTCCTTTTATATATATGTATATATATTGCTGCTGTTTTAACCTGGCATCAGGTTTAGATGGAAAAGAAAGAAGCAAAGAACATGGATCATAAACTGACGAGAAGAGAATTTGTTCATCAATGTTAAACAGATGAATATATATATTTACAAGAATCATAATAGCTAATCTGCTCAAAAGTGTTTAGCATGTTTTGGTTGCTTGTTGTCCAATCTAATTGGATCTGACTCATTTGATTGAATCGAAATAATTATTCTGCCTAAAGGTGTTTAATTACTATTGTTGAAATTCAAATGAGTTAGTGTATAATGGAGCATGGAACTAACAAGAATATGTAATCCATCTGCTCAAAAGTGTTGGATATATATATATATATATATATATTGCCCTTGTGTTCTATGTTTGGATTATGCAAAATTAATATAAGCGACTTCAGTCCAAAGATGTTGTTGTGTTTATATGCTCTTGAAGAACTGAGGAAACTTGTACTAAAGTTATTCCCTCCATATCTGTCTTGACATTTTCTATCAAATATTAATAAATTGATTGTTCACTGGATGTAGTACCTCACACCACATCGCTCAATTTTACCAGTATTGAAACATTGACTGGTTTGAATTTTAAGAAGTGGAAAGAGGACATTGAAATCGTGCTGGGTTTGATGGACCTAGATTTAGCATTAAGAGAAGATAAGCCTGCAGAACTCACTAATACAAGCACTGCTGAGGATAGAATCAAATTTGAAAAATGGGAGAGAGCGAATAGGATGTCAATGATGATAATGAAGAAGGCCATGGCTCAGTCGATGAAAGGAGGAATCCCAAAGCATACCAGTGCCAAGGGTTTTCTTGCTGTTATTGGGGAAAAGTTCAAAGAATCGGAGAAGGCTGAGACTGGCACTTTTCTTACTCAACTCACTTCCATGAAGTTCGATGGATTGGGGAGTGTGCGTGAGCACATTCTCAAAATGGCAGATCTTGCTCAAAAACTAAAGGACCTTGAGATGGCTGTAACTGATTAGTTTCTGGTGCACATGGCACTGAATTCACTACCTGCAAAATATGGACAGCTCAAGGTGTCTTATAACACTTCGAAAGACAAGTGGGGCATTGATGAGTTAATTTCAATGTGTGCTCAAGAAGAAGACAGGCTGAAGACTGATAAGACTATGGAAGTACACTTTGTTCAAACTAAAAAAGGTATAAAGGCTCCAAATGCTGGTTTTGTGAATGTTGCCTACAAGAAGAAAAGAAGGTCATTTCTTCCCCTCCAATTAAGAATACTAACACTTTTAAAGGATCTCACAAACTTAAACCTGTGAACACTGAAATTGATAAGGAAAATGAGTGTTATTTCTGCAAAGAAACAGGCCATATGAGGAAGAATTGCACTGGTTTCAAAAACTGGCTTATTAGAAAAGGTAAAACAATTAATGTTTTTGTATGTGTTGAGTCCAATTTGGTTTTCATTCCTCCTCAAAGCTGGTGGTTTGACATTGGATGCTCCATCCACATAACCAATTCTTTGCAGGGGTTCTCAAAAACAAGGGAGATAGACAATGAGGTCTACAATGTCTTTGTAGGAAATGGGAGCAAGGTGGCCGTGGAGTCCATAGGGAGTGTCAAGTTGGTTTTAGCATCTGGTTTTATTTTGATTTTGAGTCCAGTCTTATTTGTACCTTCCATGCGAAGGAGTTTGATTTCAGCATCAAAACTAGTTGAGTCAGGAATTACCTTTGTTGAAGACAATGAAAGTGTAAAGTTTTTCCATTCTAATAATTTGAACACCTTGCTCGGCAGTGCTTTTCTTAAAATTGACATGTGGCAAATGGATTGTAGTTATTATAATGAATGTTTTAATGTGTCAATGAACGGTTCCAATAGCAAGATAACTTCTGAAAAATCATCCATGCTTTGGCATAATAGATTGGGACACATTTCGAAAGAGAGAATGTTAACACTTTCTCAACAAAACCTGTTGCCACAACTAGATTTCAGTGATTTCAAAGAGTGTATTGACTGTTTTAAAGGAAAACTCACGAACAGAAGAAAGTTAGGTTCAAACAGAAGTCAAAACTTGCTGGAAATAATTCATACTGACATTTGTGGACCTTTTCCACATAAAACTATCTGTGGAAACAATTATTACATCACTTTTATTGATGATTTTTCAAGGTTCTCATATGTGTTTTTGATTTCTGATAAGTCTTTAGCACTTGATTGTTTTAAAATATTTCATTTGGAGGTTGAAAAACAACTGGAAAAACGAATTAAGATTGTGAGATCCGATAGAGGTAGTGAGTACAGCACAAAGGACCTTTTGCAACTTACCTTGAACAAAATGGCATCATTGCTCAATATACAACTCCTGGAACTCCACACCAGAATGGAGTGGCAGAAAGAAAGAACAGAACTCTCAAGGACATGGTTCGTTCAATGCTTGCACATTCACAGCTGCCAATTTTTCTTTGGGGAGAAGCACTGAAGACTGCTAATTATATCTTGAACCGTGTTCCAAGTAAGTCAGTGAAGTTGGTACCTTTTGAATGCTGGACGGGGAGAAAACCTAGCTTTAATCACTTCCACGTGTGGGGGTGCAAAGCTGAGGCCAGATTCTATAACCCTAACGAGAAGAAGTTGGATCCAAGAACAACAAGTTGCTGGTTTATTGGCTATCCAGATAAGTCTAAAGGATTCAAATTTTATTGTCCCAACTCCAGTACTCGAATCATGAAAACAAATAATGCCAAATTTATCGAAGAAAGTTCCATCAGTAATTCAACTAATGCAGCACCTGAATTTGAAGAAACAACGAGTCTTCCATTACTTGATCTGCAAGCAATCACTGTCCCAGTTGCAGAAATACCCCAAACAATGCTGCCCCAAAGTGACACAGTTAATTTTCAAGAGAGTGAGTCAATGCATCCTGGTTACACTGACCATGGAAATAATTTTACACCAACTGGGGTCACTGCAGCATCATATCCTACTGAATTCAATGAAGCAGCAGCTACATCACTCCCCATGCCACCTGAAGTTCAATAGGAAGCGCCGATTGTAAGGAGATCTCAACGAAATCGAAAGGCTAACATTTCATCAGACTTTGTGTATCTAAATGAAGCTGAGCATAATGTAGGAGATGATGATGATCCCATCTCTTTTAATCAAGCAGTCTCGAGTAATAGATCAAAGTTATGGTATGCAGCTATGGAAGAAGAACTGCATTCAATGCACAAGAATAATGTATGGACTCTAGTTCCACATGATCAACAAGTGACAAAAGTAGTGGGCTGCAAATGGGTCTACAAGACAAAAAGAGACTCCCAGGGACAAATTGACAAACATAAAGCGAGATTGGTGGCTAAATGGTTTACACAGAGAGAAGGATTTGATTACAATGAAACCTTCTCTCCCGTGTCTACCAAGGATTCCATGAGAGTTATTCTAGCTCTCACTGCACACTTTGATCTCGAGCTTCATCAGATGGATGTCAAGACTGTCTTCCTCAATGGAGACTTGGAGGAAGATATTTACATGGCACAACCACTAGGATTTGTTGAAAGGGGGAAAGAATCATTGGTCTGCAAATTAAACAAGTCCATTTATGGGCTAAAACAGGCTTCAAGACAGTGGAACAAGAAGTTTGATCAAGTGATGATGGCAGCAGGTTTTCAAGAGAACAAGATGGATGAGTGTGTGTATCTAAAGGTCAGTGCTTCTAAGTTCATATTCTTGGTTTTGTATGTCGATGATATATTGTTGGCAAGCTCAGATATGTCATTGTTACATGCAACCAAGAAACTGTTGACATAAAATTTGATATGAAAGATTTAGGAGAAGCTCAGTTTGTGCTTGGCATTAAAATAATACGAGATCGTAGCAAAAGAGTACTTGGTCTTTCGCAAAAACAGTACATTGATAGAGTCACCAAAAGATACAACATGGAGAAGTGCTCTAGTGGGGAACTGCCTATTGGGAAAGGGGGATAAAATGAGTACTGAACAAAGTCCCAAAAATGAGCTAGAAAAGGAAAGCATGAAGGACAAGCCCTATGCATCCTTAGTTGGCAGCTTGATGTATGCTCAGGTGTGTACAAGGCCTGACTTGGCATTTGCAGTTAGCGTGCTAGGAAGATTTCAATCAAATCCTGGCACTGCTCATTGGATTGCGGCCAAGAAAGTTCTCAGGTATTTGAAGAGGACAAGGGACTACATGCTAACTTATAGCAATGTTGATAATCTGTAATTGGTGGCATACACAGATTCGGATCTGGCTGGATGTGTGGATGATAGAAAATCAACCAATGGTTATATTTTCTTGCTTGCAGGTGGAGCTGTCTCGTGGAAAAATGCAAAGCAAAGCTCTATTGCATCTTCCACAATGGAAGCTGAATTCATTGGATGTTATGCAGCAACTCAACAAGCTATTTGGTTGAGAAATATGGTGAAAGAACTAAGGGTTGTCGACAACATTGAGAAACCATTGAGGATATATTATGATAACAAGGCGTCAGTATTCTTTTCGAAGAACAACAAAAGATCCTTGGCTTGTAGACTGATGGACATAAAATATTTGAAAGTTAGAGATGAGGTGAGAAAAGGGATAGTGGACATACAACACATCAACACTGAGATGATGATAGCTGATCCCATGACAAAGGTTTTATCAGTGGGAGTCTTTAAGCGGCATGTTCACAATATGGGAATTAGAGAGACTTTTGATTCAGTTAATGAGTGGGAGTAAGCACTCAGTTGATTGATAGATGTTTTTCTTTAAGTTATTTTGAATTGTTATTTGACAATTGCATTGAGAATTAATAATTGAAGTTCTTTGACAAATGATTTTGTACTGATGAATGAATCAGTTTGTATTGTAAGGAACTGGAATTTAGATTGCCAGTTCTGAACATCATGATCTCATTAGTAACGCAGTACTTTCGAGATAAGTGTGTATGTGATCATGGAGGAAAAATACAGTCTTACTTGTATTTTTATTTCCTTGGTTCTGCACTTAATCTCAAGAGTGACAGGTTACTTACGAATGGGCATGACTGCAAACTTTAGTGGACTCTAGTGATCACCATATATACTTATTTCATTGAGGAGTTCTCATTGACATTCAAGTGAGAGAATGTAAAACCATTTGTGAATGACAATGACTTATACCGAGAGTACTTGAGAGAGTAGTTGACTTGGCAATCAAGTTGATGAAATCTTCCATGATTCTCGGAACCTTAAAGAAGTAAATATATTGGAGTCCTAACATCTTGCAGTCAGTTTAAGGTCCTTTCATTAAGAGAAATAAGGTAAATGAGTCATGATAGGACTCTGATTGATTAGAGAAGATTAGGGTGAATATCCTTTCTGTTAATAGGTTGGAATTGATAGAAACCCTAAGTATATAATCAAGAAGCAATCCCTGCTACCATACCGCCGAGTCTCAGAGCACTACAAACCTATTTCGCTAGTTGAGTTCATAAAAGAGGTATTGGAAGTAGAAGGATGTCTTCGATCACGCACCAGAAGCGGCTATGGCATCAGGTAAGTCTCTCACATTCGTATGCATGCATGTCGATAATGCCATGCAGTGTGCGTATGCAGGATTGGCTGCATATTGTTCTTTTGAATATTGTTCCTTTTGTAATCCTAATACATGCTATTAGGTTCTTGGGATATTCCTACAACAGAAACTTTAAACTAAGAAGAAATATATAATTTCAAACGAGAGAAACACATAGAAGATCACCATAGTAATGATGTCCTTGGACCTAATTCCAACGAAGAAGAAAGAGAAAATGATTCTCTTTTTCCATTTCCCAAGCTACCAAGCTACCAACTCCCATTTTCATTATTTTTTAATTGTTGTCCAATCAGATTGCCATGTCAAAGCTATCCGCTGGTCTCTCTTTTGAGAGATTTTTCAGTGTAACTGGTACACGGAGTGGTACATCACGTGTCACTAAACAAATAGTGGAATATGTGTGCTAAAAAGTTAATAACTTAAAAAATAAAATTCTCCACCATTTGTTTGATGACAAGTGATGTACCACTTGTGTTCCCTCGCAACTAAAAAATTTTCCCCTCTTACGAGAGAAGAAAAACAATTATGAAAGGCGAATTGGGATGACGTCTTGGTACTCAATTTGGTAGACTTGGTAGTGATAGGTCCAGTGGTTCACTACGAAACTAAAACCCTAGCTAATTAACAGTTAACTGTAATAACCAAACCTCGCATGCAAAATTGTCTTAACTTAATACAAAACCAATTATCTCCGAACAAAATAACCGCAGCTAAAACAAACTCAAACCTCACTTAGGCTTCGGTTCTAACCTTCACTATCGATCGTTACACCGAACCAAACATTTTAAAAATCTCTCCACTCCCCCAACATTTCTTACCAAATTCAACTTCTCCAACACTTCATTTCAAATTCTAATCTTGAACAAAGACTCAAGCAACCAATTCCGGAAAAGAAAACAGCGTACGTTTAACCTAACATCCGAGGTCTAGAAAACAAAAGAAAATGGTGTCCAAGATTTTGAAGAAAACCGCATTCGACAAAAATCCCATGTCCACCAAGGGGTGTCGTGGCATAAGGCAGCGCCACCGCCGCAACTGCTCCGTTATAAAGGCCGCAGCTGCTGCCTCCTCTATCGTGCTCACCCGCATTGGCTCCAAAGGATTTAAGATCGTTCAAAAAACCCAAACCCGAGAGGGTGAACCTGAATCCGAATTATCCCGGGAACGCCGTCCGCTCCCGCCCCTGACTTCGCCGGAGAAGCGGACCGTGTTTCTCGATCTCGATGAGACACTGGTCCATTCCGTAACGGGCCCGCCGCCCAAGAGATTTGACTTCGTCGTACGGCCGATGATTCGCGGCAAAGTAATGACTTTCTACGTCGTGAAACGTCCTGGCGTGGACGAGTTTTTGGAGAAATTAGGAAACAAGTACGAGGTGGTAGTGTTCACGGCCGGGTTGCGCGAGTACGCGACGCTGGTGCTCGACCGGCTGGACCGGAAGCGGGTGATTTCGCACCGGCTATTCAGGGACACGTGTACGGAGGTGAATGGGAGGTTCGTGAAGGACCTGGCAATTCAGGGGAGGGACCTGAGCCGGCTGGTGATTGTCGACGACAACCCCAACGCGTACAGCTTCCAGCCGGAGAACGCAATCTCAATCCTGCCGTTTGTGGACGACGTGGCCGACCGGGAGCTGAGGAGGGTGCTGGAGTTCTTCGAGGACGAGGATGCTCGCTGCTGCGACGACATTAGGGACGCTGTGAGGCGGTTTGTTGGGGATGACGAGTCGATAACGTCATCAGACGACGACGACGATGGGTTGGAGGTGGCGTTGGAGTTGGAGGAGATGATGGATACCAAGTGTAAGCTCCCGGTGCTGATGGTTTCATCAAAAGCGCGGGAAATCATGAGTCGACGTGAATTTCACCAGTTTGGGATACCTATTTTAGGGTTTCGGACGAGGATGGTGGTGATGTTCTGTTTGTTTCTGCTACTTCTTCATGTAATGTGCTTTCGCACGGAATCAGTTCACACTTTTTTCTAGTAGTAGTATTGAAATTTAACAAGAGCTTCTTTTAGTTTTGTTTCTAATATATATTGAACCGTGGACTCCGTCTTTTACATTTAAGTTTGAATCGCTTCATCAATGTGTTGAGGAAAATATATTGAACAAAATCCTAACGCCAAAAATTATAAAAAGACTAAAATACTCCATGATTTTTTTCAAACGATAGACGAATATTTTTGTAAGCATGAGTTTTCTGCAACAAATGAAACAAGAATACGTCTACATAATAATGAATTTGTGTTAATGAGTTTGGGTGGTTATTCTTTATAAGACTATTTCTCTGGTTCGATCTCTAGCTAGTATTGAGATTTGATCATGCAATTGATCTTGAATCATGACGATATTTTATCAAGGGTCGCCAATGCTTGATCTTGGACAAAACAAGACCACGAGCAATTTCACGTGGTGGGTGGTCTTAGGCCTTAGTATGGATGAACTGCACGTATCTTTGTTGTGCTTGTTGATTCTCCACGAGTTTGATGAAGAACATGAGTGTTTGGGTGGTTGGTATTTGCTTTGGCTAGAGAGCTTTTTGGTTTTCTCCAAAGGTTTGGTCTTGTTCTGTTTCTCTTATGTCTTGTTTCTTGAAAATGAGCCTAGTATTTAGAGGTGAGCGATTGAGTCTAGTTTAGAATTTCAATCCCAATCCCAATCCGTAATTTGTGGAATTGATTTCCTGATTTGATTTAATTTGAGCTAATTATTTAATTAAATCATAATCTTTAATTTAGGAAATTAAACCATAATTGATATAATTTGTCAAAGTAGAGTTAATTAGTCCCTTCTTGAATTTGATTTAATTTAGTTTATAGACTAATTGATTTAATGTTATCACTAATTAAATTAAAATGAGTAGTTTAAGGAATTAAACCATAATTAAGAGATTTGATCAAGTAGCGTTAATTTGCCCTCTTTTTTTACTTATTTTGATTTGTTTAACGGATGCCTTAGATGCCAATATGTGTCACTCTTGATGACACATATGGCTTTGATGAGTCACATGCAATATGTGAAATTTGGCAAGACCCATAGTGTGTGCCACATAATCCGGCCCTAGCAAGTCAAAATTTAATTCGTTGGTGAACATTTATTTTATTAAAATTTCGATGTCTAAAATTAGATACATTAGTATCATCGGCGAGAGTATTGAAAACCCATATTGGTTCTCAATCAACCCCAATGAGATACACCTTTCTCTTTGAAAACATAAGCAGCCACCTTGTTGCAGCGGTGCTTCACTTTCGAGGAGATTACTTGAATATAATGGACCGCAAGTGATAATTGCTCAAAAATGCATGTCTAATGCGCTTTTAGTATACGGTATATCCATGCAAGTCGAATTAATTTTCTTTTGATTTGTACGTATACATTAATTATAATGCTAGTAAAAAAAAAGGATAATTGCAATACATTATCACCCAACAACTACAGAAGCTTCCTCTTCAAAAACAAGAACAAATAAGAAGGTTCTCAAGGGCTACTCAGTACAACAGTCTAGTAGTATTCCTCTTCATTTATAAGTGAGAAGTTATAGGTTCAATTATCATCAAAAGATGAATTTGAACTACATTATTGTTAGTCTATTGTGAAGCTAAGTACACTTTCCTTAGTGCAATAAGAAGAAACCTGGCAGCCAGCCGATCCCCCCGAACCAAACCAACAACCGCCACTCCCACTCAAAACAAACAGACTTAGCCTCAGCTTCGGATCCGAACCTACACTTGACGACCGTTACACCGAAGCTAAAGTTTAAAAAACTCCCCCAAACCACCGTTTTATTTCAAACCTCCAATCTCTCTCTCTCTCTGTGTATATTTCTGTTTCTCTCTCTCTTGATTTCTCTGATCAAGATTTCAAAGAAGCAATTGGGAAAGCAAGAAATTGAATTTTGAGGAAATGGTGTCCAAGATTGTGAAGAAGAGCGCCAACAGGCGACGCAATCGCGGAAAGTCCTCCGCCAAGAAGGCTGCAGTCGAGGTCTCCTCCGCCGTGTTGGCCTCCCTCTTCACTTGCCCGCGCCGCCTCGTCAAGCTTTTCGCGAAACTTGCGCGAATTGGCACCCCGAACCGCCACAAGGGCTTCAAGATCCTCAAGAAAGCCCAAGTCCATGAGGCGGAGCCGGAATCCGAACCCGGATCGGGAAACCCACTCTGCCGCAAGCTCTCGTTCGAGCCGCCGCTTCCGCCGCTTTTCTATCCGGAGACGATGACGGTGATTCTCGATCTGGATGAGACCTTGGTGCACGCACAGGCCGACCCGCCTCCGGAGAAGTTCGATTTCATAGTGCGGCCGAAGATCGACGGAATCGAGATGAATTTTTATGTTCTTAAGCGGCCCGGAGTGGACGAGTTGTTGGAGAAGTTAGGGGCGATGTACGAGGTGGTGGTGTTCACGGCAGGGTTGAGAGAGTACGCGTCGCTGGTGCTGGACCGGTTGGACCGGAAACGGGCGATTTCGCACCGGCTCTATCGGGACGCGTGTAAAGAAGTGGACGGGAAGTTCGTGAAGGACTTGTCCGGGCTGGGGAGGGACTTGAGCCGGGTGGTGATTGTGGACGACAATCCCAATTCGTACCTCTTTCAACCGGAGAATGCTGTTCCGGTCCGACCGTTTGTGGATGACATGGCGGACCGGGAGCTGGGCACGTTGGTGGAGTTCTTTGAAGGGTTGGATTGTGAGGACATGAGGGACGCTGTGAAGAAATTTGTTGGCTGCGGCGGCGGAGGCGACGGCGGTGGATCAAAAGACGGCGAAGCAGTGTGATTTTCAGTTGGCTCAATGGGATTTTTTTTTTTTCCTGTTTAGTTGGTTGTGTTGAAGTTGAACAGTCAATGTTCAATTTTTTTTGGAATTCTAAGGGAAAGTGAAAAAAGAGGCTCTTCTTATTTCACCAGATTTGATTTGATTTGATTTGTAAACTCAGCTCTCAGTTCAGTTGCTCAATTAATTATATGTAGCTTGATTTGGTTTCAGTTGTTCTTTTCATAAACTCATCGTATAACTATAACAATAAATTATTAGATGCTACATTATTACCACGTCAGCCGGTGATATTTCCGTTCAAATTTTGACGTGTATGCAGTTGTTCGCAGCTGAATTTAAAACTTTTTTCAGTTTGAATTTAAAAGCTTTTTTTTTTCTGTTCGCCAAAGCCTCAATTCCCCACCAGCTACTTCACTCCCTGCCATCGATTTCCATGGCTGCCTTCCCCCTGAAAAATCACCTCCAATGTCATCAGAAAATGATCTCCTCCTTCAAAAATTAATATGCACCATTAACATCCAGCAATCGTTCACCTCCATGGCTAGCCGACATTCACCTCTCCCAGACCCTGCGTAAAGCGGGAGCCTTGTGCACTGGGTACAAAAAAAATCGTTCATCTACAAAAATGGAGTCGTGCCGGTTTCAACACTCTGAAAGCCGAGAAAGCGAGCGTCAAGAAAGGTGCAAACACCACTGAAGCATCTGTAAGATTACGAGTATGGAATAGAAGTGGCTATGGTGTTTGAGAATTGTGATTCAATTGATTGAATCTTTATCCTTGTTAAAGTTATATTCTTACAGCATTGGCTTAGCCGAACTCGGCCTCCGCGTCGTCTTCCTCCGTTGGACTCACTAATTTCCCTCCCTACGCCATAAAAATTCCCGCGTCCACCTCGTTCACCTCTCATGCGTCGTTTAAAGCCCTCCTCTTTGTCTTCCTCTGGCAGACTGGGACGTCTTCAATTCCTACGCCTGATCGTAATAAGGACACTTCAAATAAAACAACGCCAGCGGCGACGGTAGAAAATCAGAGACGGCGGCATTCCTAACTCAGCTGTCAAAAACCTATACAAATGGCAAGTTTTGAGTTGAAGTATTTCTCCGATAGGAATCCCCTTCGTGTGTTTCGGGCTAACGCATTTCCCGCAGTGTTTTGGTAGCAAAATCCTTCACTGTTCTCTCGTTGCAATGATTTGGTATAACAGAAGATAATGTCTTTGAGGGTAAGGGCCAAAGCATAGGATCTAATAAGCTTCGTTCGAGCAAACGAATCTCTACTCGTTTTTTGTTCTCCTTGTTCTTAGGATGCAGCTCTACAACCAGAAGCCAAACTACTGATGACAAGCAAACAAAGCTAAGATAAATAACCCTCAAACATCATCTCCGGGCGGGGAGCTGTGAAAAGTGAAAACCTAAGGTTCCGAAACCTGATTGCCCTACACTTGAAGGGGTCTTTTGTTTAGCAAAGTCCTTGAGTAATTTATCTTCCTAATCTGCAAAATGTGTCTCAATCTCTTTCTAAGTGTAACGTTATCTTACCACTAAATCTTCCTTATTATCCGAAGAGTAGCGACTTCCACACTCACATTTTCTCCGTTTGCACTCGTCCCCTTGTCTTTACGCTTTGATTCTCCTTTCGTTTACTCAATTACCAAAGCGTAAAAACACGATGGACGAGTGCAAATCGATAAAATGAGAGTGCGAAAATCGCCACCAATCCTAATTCTTTAGCGAGCAAAACCACAATCTTGTAATCCACAACAATCACAATTTGTCAATTTCAATCACATCCCATCAAGATTCAGATCTTCAATCGAAGAACAGAAGCAATTTCATTCCACAAACACAACGTTTACAAATCACAAGATGCAGTTGCACGATTCAGTACTCAACTCAACAAATGAAACTATTAGATTAAAGCCGAAAGGATATGAAAAGCCGCAGACACTTCAATCAATCAACTCAAAGCTTACTGACGATTTCTGCCAAGTCGGGAGTAGTCAATTTTGCAAGTGAAGACCTGAAGTGGCAGCCGCAAAGCCTCGAGCTTGGGGAAGCACATGTCGTTGAGGACGTCGCTGCGGCACCACCGGCACTTGGGGTTGCGGGAGCACTGCGATTCCGAACACATGTCGTTGCAGTTCTGGATCTGACTCTGATTGCCGCCGCTGTTCCTCCTTTGGGTGCCCGACAGGTCGCGATCCGGACGGATCCGAGAGTCCGATCCGTGGCAGGAGCTGTAGAGAGTAGCTAAGAGTAGCAGGACGAGGATCAAGGTTGCTGCTTTAGAACTCGGACTAGGGGACTCGGTTGC